GTTCAAACTGTTCTCAATTTTGTTTTCTCTGCGAAATTAGATTTTTATCTCAGCTGTAATTGAGTTCTCAGGGTTCATTCTTTTCAAAATTTTAGATGTGTGCCCCCCCCCCCCACCCAACCACTTTTTCTCTCTCTCTCTCCGGTAAATGTTTTCTGAAAGAGTTCATCCTTTACAGAGATTGAGATTTGAAACAAATTACTATGACTCAGTGTCTTCCCCCTGGCTTCATTGTCATGGTCGGCATCGTTAATGACTCGCCCGGGGGGTGCATCCGCATCGCTACAACGGGTACAACGCCCCTGCTTGGGCCCCCCCCCCACCCACCCACCCCCCGAGCCGGTGGGGATGCCTGAATAATAACAATCATTATGTTCTCGCTGTGACCTAATTGTATGTGTGCAGGGGGGACAATGAGGTTTGTTCAGGAGGCTAAGGAGTAAGATTAGTCCGTCCCCCCCCTACTCATTTTACCGTGGCATCCTCCTTCATTCGAACAGGGGAATGTAGTAGTAGTAGTAGTAGGCCCGACTGATTCTTGGGAGTTGAAATTGGTGGAAGTAGCAAACAAGGGAAATATATATTGACTTGGGCTTACTAACCGTCAGCAGTTTTTTTTTTACTCTGGGCCACGGGGATTTTAAAGAATATACCGGGTAGGTACGAGTGTTACAAAAAAAAGCTAACTTGTTATTTTCTATAATATGTGCCGACCCTTAAACAATAGTCATCATACAGATAGTCCTACACCCTAACTGCCGGCCTTTAAACAATAGTCATCATACAGATAGTCCTACACCCTAACTGCCGGCCTTTAAACAATAGTCATCATACAGATAGTCCTACACGCTAACTGCCGGCCTTTAAACAATAGTCATCATACAGATAGTCCTACACCCTAACTGCCGGCCTTTAAACAATAGTCATCATACAGATAGTCCTACACCCTAACTGCCGGCCTTTAAACAATAGTCATCATACAGATAGTCCTACACCCTAACTGCCGGCCTTTAAACAATAGTCATCATACAGATAGTCCTACACCCTAACTGCCGGCCTTTAAACAATAGTCATCATACAGATAGTCCTACACCCTAACTGCCGGCCTTTAAACAATAGTCATCATACAGATAGTCCTACACCCTAACTGCCGGCCTTTAAACAATAGTCATCATACAGATAGTCCTACACCCTAACTGCCGGCCTTTAAACAATAGTCATCATACAGATAGTCCTACACCCTAACTGCCGGCCTTTAAACAATAGTCATCATACAGATAGTCCTACACCCTAACTGCCGGCCTTTAAACAATAGTCATCATACAGATAGTCCTACACCCTAACTGCCGGCCTTTAAACAATAGTCATCATACAGATAGTCCTACACCCTAACTGCCGGCCTTTAAACAATAGTCATCATACAGATAGTCCTACACCCTAACTGCCGGCCTTTAAACAATAGTCATCATACAGATAGTCCTACACCCTAACTGCCGGCCTTTAAACAATAGTCATCATACAGATAGTCCTACACCCTAACTGCCGGCCTTTAAACAATAGTCATCATACAGATAGTCCTACACCCTAACTGCCGGCCTTTAAACAATAGTCATCATACAGATAGTCCTACACCCTAACTGCCGGCCTTTAAACAATAGTCATCATACAGATAGTCCTACACCCTAACTGCCGGCCTTTAAACAATAGTCATCATACAGATAGTCCTACACCCTAACTGCCGGCCTTTAAACAATAGTCATCATACAGATAGTCCTACACCCTAACTGCCGGCCTTTAAACAATAGTCATCATACAGATAGTCCTACACGCTAACTGCCGGCCTTTAAACAATAGTCATCATACAGATAGTCCTACACCCTAACTGCCGGCCTTTAAACAATAGTCATCATACAGATAGTCCTACACCCTAACTGCCGGCCTTTAAAAAATATACTTACCGACACTCCTATAGCCAATCATGCACCATACCCGTGGCTCTTTTTCTTATTAATATAATATTCGCCCCCCGCCCCCCCCCCCTTTTCTACAGAAAGAAACTCAACGTTTGTACAAGAGTTCAGAGGTCACGCATGAAAGCACGCTGCGTGGCAGCCTTTTTTTTCTTTTCTACTCAGTGCTATTAATAGTAAACATGTGGAGTAGGGGGTGGTGGCGGTTGTGGAAAGGGAAGCGGGGGCAAACTGGAAGCAAAATCTCAAAGAGTGATAGTTCGTCCTTCACACGCCAAGATGACCAGGTCCATATCCGACTTTTCATGTCATCTGTGGCGCCCCAACGGTCCAAGGACTCAGGGACATGATGATATCCGACTTGACTTGAACTGTGTTGAAAGTGAGGGAAAGCTACTCTAGTCAGCCAGCCCCACTCTCTCGTGCTTGCATGCTTTGATACCATGGCAAGACTTTGTCGATACGACTGGAAATAGATCAGGACGTAGTAGATGACCAGCAGTGATTCTCGGCAGCCAACTGGGAAGCATCAGTTCCGTGAGTGTCGGACTGATCCAACTAACTATGTACCACATGCTTTTATTGTACTCTGTAGACATGCCTTTCCGTACACGCATCTTCATGCCCATTTGTACACGCATATACACACGCGCCTTTTTTTCTACATGCCCTTATTATATGCCTTGCACACACGCCCTTCATGCACGTATCTACACGCCCAGCCAGATCTACAATGCTCATTTCTACCAGTGCAAATCTACATTCCGATTTCAACATGCCCTTCTCTACATGCCTATACATGTATTTTATAAACGTACATCTATCTACATGCCTCTCCACCACAGAATCAGAGAGATTTATTTCTTCCCGAATTGTTCGATCCACCACCACCCCACCACCCCAC